GCTAAGTGTTGATTGCTGTGTTACCATTTGGTGTCCCCGGTCTAATCAAGTATTAAAAAGGTTCAGATTTGTACAAAGCATTCCATGTTTTTGGAATCTAAGCACCAGTTCATCCTCCACAGAAGAGCTGGACCGCCACAATTTAGGAAGGACGTTGACAAGCTGGAATGTGTGCAGAGGAGGGCGACTGAGATGATCAAGGGTCTGGAAATCAAGCCTTATGAGGAATGATTGAGGGAAGAGAGGGAACTGAGAGGAGATAGCCATCTTAAAATATCTCAAGGGCTGTCAGATGTTGTAAGATGGAGCAAACTTGTATTCTCCTGCTCTGGAGGGTAGAACTCGAGCCAATGGTTTCAAGTTACAAGAAAGGAGATTCTGACTAAACTTTTGGAAAAGGAGATTCTAACTAACAGAAGAACTTTCTGAGAGTAAGAGCTGTTCAACAGTGGAACAGTCTACCTTAGGAAGTTGTGGACTCTCCTTCCTTGGAGGCTTTTAAGCATCTGTCCTGGATGCTTTAGCTGAGAGTCCTTTGTTGCAGAGGGTTAGAATCATAGAATAGAATCATAGAGTTGGAATAGACCACAAGGGCCATCGAGTCCAACCCCGTGCCAAGCAGGAAACACCATCAGAGCACTCCTGACATATGGTTGTCAAGCCTCTGCTTAAAGACCTCCAAAGATGGAGACTCCACCACACTCCTTGGCAGCAAATTCCACTGTCGAACAGCTCTTACTGTCAGGAAGTTCTTCCTAATGTTTAGGTGGAATCTTCTTTCTTGTAGTTCTTGTAGTTTGGGCTCTTCCAACTCTATGGTTCTAGGTAGATAGAGGAGTGTGATCAGGGAATACTGGAAGAAGCCAGCTGTCAACTATTGCAGGAGTTACCAGACTGTGAACTGGAAGTTTTCTTTCAGGTGGTCTGAAAGAAAAGTGGGTCCGCATTAAAACATCCATATGGATTTCAATTGTATTTTTATTGCTTCTATTACCATTTGTATTTATTTGTATTGGGTTACAATTTGAGTTCTGTAGAATTCAAATTGTGAAATAGTAAAATACAATTTAAGAAATGAAAGTGGCAATAAAAAAATACAATTAAAAACCGCATGGAATGTATCCCAGCACATTACAAATGCTACAAGCTGCAGAGAAAAAAATCATTTAAGTGGTCCACCAAGACCCCCAGGTATTTTCCAGTGGTCCATTGGGGGAAAGGTGTGGGATCTACTGACTCCGTTGCCATGGATCTGATGGTCTATTGGCACTTTACCATTTTCCTATGACAATGCAACCTTCCATGCTAGAATTTTCAGAGTTGCCTGAAGATAAACGTGATCAGGCTGGGTAGCTGTTTCAAAGAAGCCTTCTGTGGCATGTGGAGCCATGAGCCACCAAAGACCAAACACCAACTTAGTAACCTCATTTTGTAGCCAGTATAGCCCTTGCAGACTATGTCCTGGAAGACCAGGGTTCAAGTCCCCACTCAGCCACAAAGCTCACTGGGTGACCTTGGGCCAGTCACTGCCTCTCAGCCTAGCCTACCTCACAGGGCTGTTGTCAGGATTAAATTATGGAGAGGATCACATTCACCACCTTGAGCTCCTTGGAGGAAAAGTGAGATATAAATGGGACAAATAAAGTAGATAATGAATATATAACCTGTGTATGGATTTTCCAGGACTTGTACACACACACACACCCCTCAGGTGTGTATTTATGGGCTGACCTACCTCTTTCGGGGGGTGGGCACAGAAAATGTGACACAATTCTGTGACGTTACCCCTTCAAGGTACAGGTGGGTGGGTGGAGAATCACACAACTGTTGTGCCCCTCACAGGCACTCTCCAGCAGGTACATATGACATCTGCACAGTTGTATCTCACACAGCCCTTGCCATTGCAACTGACATTAACAGCAGAGGAGTAGAGACAACTGCTTTCCCCCCCAGTAATAAAAACACCGCTGTGTAGCTGCTGGGGAAAACACAATATCCTGATCGCGAGCATTACTCGGCCAAAGAGATATCTGGAATGCACACAACTCTCGCTCGGTAATGACGGCATCTTTTGTTGCACAAGGAAAACAGTTTAAATAGAAAAAAATAAACCCTGGGTGTTTTGAAGCAGGCTGGGGGTGAAAAGATACAGATCTATAGCAAATTCTGTACTTGACCCCATATCAAAACATCTGTTTGTTCTGAGATAGTAGGAAACTGCCTTATGCTGAGTCAGACCGCTAGTCCGTCTATGTCAGATGGCAATGGTGGTTGCTCGCGAGTAACCAGTCAGGACTCCGACCTGTATTTTACAGGTTTTATTATGGTGCAAAACTATTTACAGCACAGAAACACAAGTTCATGTCCGCCTCAATCTCTAGCAGAATCCGGGAGTGGTTGTTTCTGTGTCTTCCCCCAACAAAAGAGCTTCGTCACCCCCAGCCTTTTCCTTCCTTCTTTGCGTTTTACCCCTCTGCGCAAGGTGGGCGACGGAAGAGGAGTGCTTCCCTCCTGGCCGGCTTGGCAAGGAGTAGTGCTGAGGCTCCCACCAGCATCCTCTGGCCCTTTCCCCTCCTTCACCCTGGAGGTGTGGCTTTCCCCACCCTCAGAGGTGCAGCACTGGGGCTCTCAGCAGCATCCTCTGGTCCCTTCCCCTCTTCCCCGCTGGAGGAAGAGGAACTGCTTCGCAAGATTTTTGAAGGTTCCCTGTATCCCAACTGCCCCTCTCCCTCCCTTCCCTGTTCCGATGGCAGCTTAGTGTTGTCTACACTGACTGGCAGCTGTTCTCTGGGATATCAGACAGGGATGGAGATGCCAGGGATTGAAACTGGGACCTTCTACATGCTGGGCACATGATCTGCCCCTGAGCTATGGCCCTTCCCTTCCAAGTGGGATGTGGAGGGAGGAGGGTGACAACGGGCAACAGGACGTTCCTCCTGATTTCAGGGAGCAGAAAGAAGAGCTGCCGAGCACCACAGACACCCGAGCTGGCATGAATTATGCATCCCTTGTCTGAAGAGAGGTCAGCCTCATTAATAATGGAGGAAAGGCTCCCCGCTCTGCCTTCTGCCTGCATCTTCCAGCACCAACAACTCATGAAATCTGCATGGACTTTCTCAGGGTGTTTATGGGCTGCCGGGGGAAAGAAGCCGCAGAGCAGGAAGCAACCGGCACATCGAGCTGCGGCAAATTTCTGCGCATGTTTACAAGGCACCGAATGAGTGCGGGATTCATTTGCGCAGATCTGATTAGATCCTTTCTGGCACAGGCCCACAAATGCACGCTTGCCTGTGAAATGCAGCTGACTGCAGCTCGTGCATCCGGGCTTGGGACTTGTAATACTGACTTTGTTTCACCAACTGGTGACAAATTTTAAGGCAGACACATCTGTACTCACCAGCACAGTGTCCTGTTTAGTTTAAAAGAAAAAAAGAGTCACTTCTCCAAGTTTTCCAGTGTTGTTGTTAAGGCCAGATGGGCAGGTTATTTGCCTGCCCTGTTATGTTTTTTTTAAAGCAAAAATACTCATGTGGTGCATATCTGAATGTCAGGGCTGGGCCATGCATGGCTGGACTTGAAACCAAGCCCAGGCTGTCTGGCGCTAGAACTTGACTTGAGCAGGGTCTGTGCTAAACTAGGGCTGAATCTGATGTGCAATGGGCAAAGGCCACTGATATGTTGATCAGGCCTGGACAGCAGCCCAATATCCTGTTGTTGTTCTTGTTCTTGTTCTTGTTCTTGTTCTTGTTCTTGTTCTTGTTCTTGTTCTTGTTCTGGCCAGTACAGGCCTGGCCTATACAGAGGCTGCCAATCACAGGGACTGGTTTTCCATGGCTCTGAGGCCTGAGTATCGACAGACCTAGGCAGCTCACTAAGGATACGTCCAAACCTGGTTTGAGTCTCTGGATGCTAGAGGGCACCTCCAGACTGTCATAGCTTTGTGAGGTGGATAGTAGGAAGTTTAGGTTTTCACAATGAAAGTGGATTAAAGCATTCTGTTGCCCAAGCGCAACCTGTCCATTTTTTTTAAAAAAAAATGTCTTTTGCGATTAGGAAAGTGGCAGGGAAAATGCACTTAAGTTGGTGTGTCGCCTCCAGACTGGGATAACTAGACTCATACAACCAACATGCTTAAATCTTATGCATGAAGGGGTTAAGACCATAAAGTAAGCTGTCCTGCCAGACTTAGCTCACCTTGGGAGGGACTGTGCAATCAAGTCTTTGTTCCTTCGGTCTACCAGAGAAGCTCAACGCGTGAGGAGATCTGAGATGGTTGCTGCAGCTCAGACCACATGGCTTTCACAAGCCATGCTTGTGTTCCTATACCAATAATTCAGGTTCTTTCACCACAGTAACTTAAGACGAGTTTTACTGCCTGTGCAGCTTTTCTGACTTCTATATGGAAAAGCACATGAATCTGAGTTATTAAGAAATCCATTTTTAACTTAGCAAATGTGTGGTCTTTTTCTATGCTGGGGGAAGAGGGAAACATTGGAAGGAACTCACAAGGGCGTATTGTAAAGGTCTAGCAGCCTGTATTTCCACGCTTTACTTTGCTGCATATTTTGTGGTTTTAAATCTCTGCTGGGGTTCTCTCCCCAAAGAGTACTTGCCCCAAGCATGGATCTTGGCATCCAGGAACTTTCCTTTTCATATAACTATTTTTTCCTGGCCAACCAACACAGACCTCATATGGGGGTCCCTCCTATGTTTGAGATCCCGCCCAATGCCATTTCCACCACTGGAATGAGCACATAGCAGAAAGTCCACCCCCAACCTCACCTACTGTCGCAACCAGCCTAACACACTTGAGTGCAGATCTTCCAGTCATCATTAAGGGTCATAGATTTAAACTCTCCCTTTGAAAGACACAGATTGCAACATTTTTAAGGATGTTTTATCTTTCTGCAATTAAATACTCTGTGGCACAAATAAATAATTGGTTTTCATGAGCATGGCAAAACTTTTATTAAACTTCCTTCCTCTTTTTTTTCTCCTAGGTTTGGTTTGGTTCTCTTTAGAGGGATGTAGGAAGCTTAGAAAGGCTGGCCCCCAATGTATTCCCGGACTGCGGTTCCTGCCTATCAGTTTGCATTAAAGGTAACGTAAGGGGCACCAGATATTTGTGTGAATCTCACCAACCAAAAAACTTCAAATTCCCTTCCAGACTCCACACAGATCTGCACACCAACCACATGCCTGGTGCATAGAGAAAAGGGCCTTAATCCCACTCTTGAAATTAATGTTCCTATTTCTTTCTTGGCATCATCACACACCTGGTTACAAATATGTGATAAAGCATTTACAGCCTGACCCAGATTCACTGCCCTCTGAGAGCAAAGCGAGATGTTTGTTTGATATAAAACATACAGCTGTGTGTTAAGTTTGAACTTTAATCAGAGGGGTGTGTACTTAAGCATGTGCTTGTGTGTGATCCTTTCAGGGAAGGTTTAATGCAGAGAAGGGAGGGTTGTTTCTTGCTTTCATAGTGTGATCAGAGCCAAAATCACTTTCTGCGTACAGATAGAAAGGTGTTTTTCCCCCTCCCTAAGATCGCATAGCTCCCCCCAAAGAATCCTGGGAACTGTAGTTTGTTAAGGGTGCTGGGAATTGTAGCTCTTTAGGGTGTAGTTCCCAGGATTATTTGGGGGAAAGCCACATGCTTTAAAAGTATGAGGTGAATTTGACCTAAGCGTTGTAGTTACACTGGTGAGAGGTGATTTTGGCTCCATTCACCCTGGGGAAGAAACAGAGAGGCTCATATATATGTCCACATATGAATGATCCAGTTTGGGAACTTTGCCTGCCACAGCAAAGACTGGGCCACCCAAATGTGTTTTTTTGCATTAGGATGTCTTCCATTGCTGTTAAGGGGATGTTTCTTTCCAGTATAAATACTATGCGCAAGGGCCTAATCCAGATAAGCAGCAGTTGGAGGTTTAAAGCCCCTTTCCTTCTCATCGCCACCATCAGAGCGTCCATCCCAGTCATCTCCCCCTGTATGGGCCAATTTCATATACGCAGCTAGAATGGAAATAGCTAGCAGTTGGACAGCAACCCAGCTGCCAAGGCCTACTCACCGGAGCCAACAATTACAGAAACCGGCTTTGTTTTTGTTTGCTTGTTTTGTTTTTTTAAAAAAATATAAATCTTTATTAGTTTAAAATACAATCATACAGTAAAGGTAAGTATAACAAAATTAAGCACAAAAAAGAAGAAGAAAAAGAATTCGTCACCTCAAAAAGGTCGAAAAAAGGTTTAAAGGTGACAAAAAAAAGAAAATTAGAAGAACCACATATTTACCGTATTTTTTGCACCATAACTCTCACTTTTTTCCTCCTAGAAAGTAAGGGGAAATGTCTGTGCGTGTTATGGAGCAAATGCCTACGGATGGTGGGGGGATCTGGTGCAGTCGTGAGCAGAGGATCCATGGTTCCCCTTCCTTCCCTCCTCCATGGCTCGCTTTGAAACAGCAAAGCGGGAGAAGAGCCACTGAGTGGGGAGGAGAGAGGGACAGAGAGCCTGCTTGCTTTAAAGGAGCAAAGCGGGAGAGAAGAGGAGCCTTCTCCTCTTATACCCCTCTTCTGCATTATTAACAGCATCCTTCTCCACCCACCCCACGCGTGTTCATTGTCCCTTGAGTGCTTTTCCTTCCCTCCCCACTTAAAACGTGGTTACAAAGCACGGATCCACATGGATCCTCAGGATTTTTGCACTGGGTCACCCCAAATTCACCATCAGATCACACAGCATGTCCATGGCTACAGCTTGCACCAAAAAAATCACGCACCCACTGTTGCCTGGGGCCGCAGTGGTGCAAAAACGTGGTTACAAAGCATGGATCCACATGGATCCTCAAGATTTTTGCATTGGGCTACCCCAAACTCACAGTCAGATCACATGTCTGTGGCCACAGCATGAACCACAAAAATCATACATCCGCTGTTTCGTTTAGAATATTTTTTTCTTGTTTTCCTTCTCTAAAAACTATGTGCGCGTTATGGTCGGGTTCGTGTTATAGAGCGAAAAATATGATATATAACATAATCCAATAAAGTTTTTATAGAAACCGGCTTTGAGGGACAAACTAACAAATATATGTGGCCAATTGTGTCACGTGGCCAGATTTCTTTATGGAGAGATAATCCCTTGTCTGGCATGTATACAGGCTGTCACACCCTTTACCTTTGCAGCTGGTTAAAATTAATTGCTCCATAATTTGAGTATCATACTTAACTGTTCAAAACGAACCTGCCGAGTGTAGCATGTGAAATGGAAGGTTGTGCTCTGTGCTTTTTCTTGGGGCTCCACGTAGATGGATATGCAAATCTGCTTCCTACGGAGAGATTTTGCTTGTAAAGATATGGGCAGATATGTGTAGAATGACAGATCTAAAGCATGCTTGTTCACACTGTCAACAATCTTTGAATGGCTGCTAATTCCAAGAGTCTTCTCCTTCTCCTTCTCCTTCTCCTTCTCCTTCTCCTTCTCCTTCTCCTTCTCCTCCTCCTCCTCCTCCTCCTCCTCCTCCTCTTCCTCTTCCTCCTCCTCCTCTTCTTCTTCTTCTTCACATACAAAATTATATTCATTTTACCTCTTTGACTTGAAACCAATACTTGCTTTCCTTGGATACAGGGATGGGGACCTGTGGTCTGCCAAATGATGCTGGACTATAGTCATCTCCCATCAGCCCCAGACAGCTTGACCACTGGGCTGGGATGATGGGAGATGTTGGCCAACACATCTGGAGGACTACAGGTTCCCCATGCTTATTTAGCCAATCCTTCTCACTCATAACTCCCACACACAATTATTAGCTGGTTGCGTAGACGACAGGAACACTTAAGTTAAAGGGGAAGCATCTGTTTCAAAGGCTACGTCTCAAACTTTTAATTATGAAGCTCTCCTTTAGATATCTCTATATAAAAGGAAAACGGATGATGGATGACTGAAATTAAAGCGAGACGTGTATAATTGGAAATCGGCTCAAGGATCTTAGGCAGCATATTGAAGGCATCCATCATTCGGCCAGTGAATGTTGTTATAGGTGGTTAGGAATGAAGTTCTGAAGCAGGTATTAACAGATATGGGAGCTGAGAAGAGGAAACTTCAGAAAAGAAGAAAGGTGATGAAAGGGAACAGGGAGTGATGAGAGCTCATTTCTGATCCTAGTTTTCAGAGCCGTTCCAACATTTACAAGCTTCATTTAAACTATTAATACTAGTGTATATGCAAATGTCATGCACATCTGCCCCATTTTTGTCTCTTTTTGGTGATGTAGTTCACATTTTTTGACTCTTTGTATAAGTGGCCACCCAAATGAAACCAGTTGTGACTACCTGACCAGTATACTTGCGTGATGTGTTTCCAAACACTGGTTTGTTCATCCTTTGAGTCCTGTAGGTGTACTTTTGAAATCATAGTTTTTAGAGCAGCATTTGAAAAGGTCAAAAAAAGCAGCCCCTGGTTGCTGTTATTTCATTGCTCCTGAGCAAAGCCCTCTCTAGAAAGTATCTAGTGCATTCAGACGTTGCAAATCTGACACCATGTTAATTAAAGGGATGTTGCCATGTGAGCCCGTGTCTCAGTGAAGTGGGTCTTTGCAAGAAAAAGTAAAGGGACCAGGTGAAAATGTTGTGTTAACTGCTCTATTCTGTGCATGTGTTGTATTCAGAGATCCAAAATATGATTTGGAACAAGTTATTCAGGCTGGCTCGTTTAAATCTGTTTGTGTTTGTCCCTTGATACAGTTGGAACAGGAAGTAGTTCATCATCATTATGTGTCATGAATGCATCATCCCACTCCTTTCCATAATTAATCTGGGAATCTGTTTTAAACACAACTGCTTTCACTGCTCACTATTAACCGTTTTGCCCTCTGCTTCTAGTAATGAGAACAAGTTACATCATTGTTCGGATTTCTTTTGTCCCTGGTATATTTAAATGCACACTCACAATAGCATTTTCCCCTGCCAGCTGTGGATCTTTCCCTGTTGCATATAGTTCTTTAGTCATTCTCTACGTCTCCCAGTGCCTAATTTGCATTAATTGTTTTCCATTCATCTGTTTTTGTTATATGTCACTGCCCTTCACAGTTCTTCTAAACTCCTAACAAAGGTTGCTTGAGTTTTTGCAGAACGCCATTAAGTATCAAAACTTCCCATGGCATTTTTCCATTCCCAGGTTTTTAAGTGGAATATTAGGGGCGGTACAGCACAAGCACACACTGGGCACCCAGAGCTGACCTGAAGGTGTATAACGTTATGAATGGAGAGAGAGGTTTTTCTCCCTCTCTGTAACACTAAAACCCAATGAAGCTGAATGCTGAAAGACTGACAGCAGACAAAAGAAGTATTTATTCACACAGTGCATCATTTAACTATGGAATTCATTCCCACAAGAAGGAGTAATAATGCCCACCAACTTCCAGAGCTTGAAACGGGGGTTAGACAGATTCATGGGGAATAAGCCTAACAATGGATACCAGTCATGATGGCTTTGTGCTGTCTTCAGTGTCAGAGGCAGTGTGCCTCTGAATTCAAGGTGCTAGGCATAACAAGTGGGGGGGGGCAGTGTTTGTCCTCCTATCCTGTTTGTGGAGTTTCCATAGGCATCTGGTTGTCTGCTGTGAGAACAGGATGCTGGACTAGATAGGCCTTTGGTCTGATCTAGTAGGACGACCCTTATATTCTTGAGGTGTGAGCGCATGCTGGCAAAGGTGTGTCGTCATGGCGAAAGTGCTCTCCTTCCCATTCAGAACATTCCCTTTTTATACGATGGGGTAAAACGGCAAAATTATTGACATCAATTGGAGCACTAGACTGATGATGACTGCTTGGTCTTTCTCAAATGTCACTGTAAACTTTGGAAAGAACACTAATTAAACACTGGAAGGAAGACTAGCTGTGCACATGTAAAGTGAAGCTTGGACTCGTGGTGAAGAACAAACTGAATGTGAGTCAGCTATGCGACACTCCAGCACAAAAGGCCAGTTCAATTCTGGTTTGTGGAAACATTCTACCCAAGGCTCAAGCAGGAATAATATGTTTTACGTTGCACTGGCAAGGCCTCATGTAGATTACTAGGAACATCACAGTTCCAGGAGCATGTAGCTAAATCAGAAAAGATTCAGAGCTCAAGTAAAACCTGTCATCTGAGGAAAGGCTTGAAGCACCTATGTATGTACTTAGCCTAGAGAAAACAAGATAGAGATATTTTTTAAAAAAAAAAATCCAACCCTTTAGCAACAGTTTTTGTTTTTTTAAAAGCAGTGACGTAATTGACTTTGTAAACGTATGGCTGTAGCACAGGGACGCGTGAAGATGCCTGGTAAGTATGTGAATCAGCTTTTCAAATGAAATACTTGTAGTTGTGCTTTTCGTATCAGGAACGGCCACGGGTCGTATTTCTTCCAAGCAGGTGAGAAACTTTGCTTTGTGACTAATGAGGTCTGTGTCTGCTTAGGCCTCCAGAGAAAGCACCGTCCCCCCCTGACAGACAGGAATGTGGAAGAAGGCCTGCAAGGAAGTGCCAAATGTATACACTCTGCACCTGAGGAGCATCTCAGAGGACACCAACTCCTGGCAGATCCCAGGAAGGCCAGGGGGCTAAACAAACTTGCCAGCTAGACTCTCTTCCTCAAAGCCATTGGTGTCAAGGCATGCCCTCTGTTGTGACAGATAACTGGTGAGTCATTTTGCAGCATGGCTGATGAGGTGTGCTCGCCTAGCAAGGGAAGGAGTGCCGTTATTATGAATAGGGGTTTCTCCTAAATTTCAGAACTGTCAGCAGTTACATATTGCAGGCAGGGATAGGAGAATCACAGCTCTGACTCAGGGGTGGGATACCTGCGGTCCCTGAGATGTTCTTGGACTCCTGTCAGCCTTGACCAGCAAAACTGCGATCCTAGAGAGGGATTGGAAATGGCTGACAGGATTAGGACATAGCTGCTTTGTTCCTGCCTATTAGCTCTGCTCTTGCAGCTACTGCTTCCAGTGTTCTGCTTTTGCTGGCTAACTTGAAAGTATTTCATAAAAGAACAAACAAACTTGACAAACTGTTTTTGTTCCTCTACCCGGAACTAGGTAACTGAATGTAATTATGAGACTGATTATGGGAAGATGTCCGTTGCTTGTTTGCACGTAGCGCTGACAGTTCGTTAGACTTGCTGGGTTCTTTCCATCAGGGCCTTTTGGCACCTTTATGACAGGCCAAACTGCTGCCACATCAGAGCCTTTTTCTAGAGTGGGAATTCAGTGAAGGGAAAAGCTTCACCCGCTGAAGTTTTGCCTCTTGCTCAGGTGTCGATAGCATCAGTGGCGTAGCGTGGGGGGTGCAGGGGGGGCCGGCCGCACCGGGCACAACATCTGGGGTTAGGGCAAATCCACAGGTTAGGGGGCGCAAATCCACGGGTTAGGGGGCGCAAATTACTTGCCTTGCCCCGGGTGCTGACAACCCACGCTACGCCACTGGATAGCATTAGTACAGAAGAAAGAAATCCTATGCTTTTAGTGTTTGAAGAAAAAGATGGTCCAGCATAGGAACTTCTTTAGAGATCCATATCCCTAAAGAGATCCATATTTTAAAAAACAAATATTATTTAATTTATGTGTGTACACACACAGAGAGAGAGGCAATTAGTTGCAATCCTGGCATTTTTACTCAGAACTAAGGATCAGACCATAAGAGTGCCTATTTATTAAACCTGTTTTCCCTGGTTCAGCTGCAACAGGGTGGCAATGGTTCACTTTTTACACTCATGGGACTGTCTAGGAGTGTGGAGTCAAACCTCTCCCCAAGCTCCATTATTTCAACATTTGCTCCCTGTCAGGATGTACTTTGTATGGATGCGTTATCACATCCCAGTAGCTAAGGAAACAATGATTTTTCTGGCAAAATCCACAAGAGAATATGGCCTTCAAGCTAAAAAAGATTCCCCACCCATTTTCCATTAGTTCATGCTTGAATTTCAGTTCATGAATTAAGACCAATATTTGTTTTTCATTTTCATGTCTCTTGCCTGATTAAAATATTGACCAGTTTGTTTGTTTTTGGCAGAAATGGATGAAGTTTTCAGGCATTTCTAAGAGGATGAATTCTGCCAAAATACATCTGCAGTGCTTTACCTGCCAGGGCAGCATTTACAGTTTGGAGGTGGTTTTAAAAAGAATTAACTTAATTCCCCTATTGTTTTGTGGGCAATAGGTGTGAAAATAATTGTGTGTGAAAATAATACATATCAGACAGGTGTCCCAAAGCAAGAAAGCTGCCATAATTCAAAAGGATTGGTGCAGGGGCTTTTGTGCTGGGTACTTTTTAAAGTTGATTTTCTTGAGGAGAACTAAGAGGGAGTCATTCCCCCATCCCTGACATTTTGCAGTCAACAATTTGGCATGCATGGTAGAGTCGCCTTTAGGAAAGTAACTTGCAAAATACCAGAAAGACAGGTGCATAGGCTATAAGTTATAAGGAAAGGAAAAACAGCTTCAGGCTTGTTTGATGCTCAGTTGGCACTAAAAGCCACAGAAACTTAAGAGCAGAGTTGATTTAATGGGAGTGGATGCGTGGCATTGGCAAAGGCAGAAGGAGTTAAATGCCCAGCATTTTCCAGGTAAGCAAGCATCAGTAGCAGAACTAGCAAAAGCGCAGAGCAGATCAAGATGATGCATTGCTGTGATTGGAAAACACTGGTAAGATTATTCCCTCTGATTATCTTTATTTTTCATTTCTATTTATAAATAGGGGGAAATCTCAAAGTTGTTTACAAGCCTACATTAAAAGTTCAAATAGAACATTAAAAAATAAAGCAGAACTTCTTACAGAAGAGGTTCACATATAAAATGTATATACTCAGTGATCTTGGACCGGTTGGTTGGAGCATGGCGCTGATAACCCCAAGGTTGCAGGTTCGATCCCCGTATGGGACAGCTATGTATACCTGCATTGCTGGGCGTTGGAATAGATGATCTTCAAGGTCCCTTCCAACTCCAGAATTCTATGATTGTATGAAAACAACGTAATTAACAAGAAAATGGAATGCTATCTAAAAGATTTCAAAGTAAAACATTACGTAAGAAGGTCAAATACAGAATACACATTTAACACAGCAAAATTAAGACAAAATATTTTCTTAGACATTTCAAAATGAAACATTACTAAAGGAGGTCAGGTATAGAATGCACATTGAAAGTGGCATAATTAGCAAGAAAATGAAGTATTATCTTAAAGGTAAAATGTAGCTGCTGCTGCCAATGGTGGCTCATTTCGGGGGGCTGCCACTGGAGTTTGGACTTGGTGGTCTGGGGGCTCACTTAGCAACTGGGTGGCAGGCACAGCCAGCAGGCCCTTCAAATCTGAGAGCCAAGAGAATGGCTCCAAAAGCAACTCTCCCACCCAACCCTCTCCCTCACCTCTGTAGAGTTTTCCTCATATGGCAAAGTTGGAAGGAAAGATTTCACTTTTAGCCTTTGGCCTGAATATCCAAAGCATTCCAAATCACCTTCATTGCCCCAGCTTCACTTCAGGGCACTTTGGAAAGACCCCATTCTGGTTCAGACAAGAACCTTTCCCAAAGCAGCTTCAGCTCAGGATTCAGGGTTTGTCTGAATCTCATGCGCATCCCTAATATCTATGACAAGCTCACTTCCGGTCTCAGAGTGTGCTGGGGCAAAATGTATTAAGGCAGCTGTTAGAGCGTGGGACTAACTACTGAAATAATTCCCAAGAATTTCTTGATAGAGTGAATGCCACAGAGAGCTGAATGTAAAAGTTGACAGTTCTGTGTGATTGCCTGTCTCAGGTTTCTTACAGATAATAGCAGAAAATCCAGCCGGGGTTTCGCAGAAAGCATCTGTAAGTGCTAGGATTTCACAAAAATAAAAAAAGCTATGTTGTCGCCTGCAAGTTCTTATACCTAGCAACATCATTCTCATCACCATTATTTAGCACTATTATAAATTGCCTCTTTGTTCTACGTGTTGTACAAAGCTTAGAAAATAAGACTCTGCCTACTGTTGGGCTTACAGTCTAACAGACATTATACAAAAGGAATACAGAGTGAAGGAAAGGCATGGAGAAGCACTGGAACAGCTGCACCTTCTCAGCCAGTGGATGGTGCCAGGCTTTCTGAAAGGCAAGAGGTGTTAGCAGACCTTGAAGCTTGGGTGGATTAGATTAGAATAATCAGTATCTGGAATTCAAAGGTTTTATTCATGCAGGAACTATTTACAGGATGCATGGAGATAGAAGGGAAGAAATAGAAGACAGAACAGTAAAAAAAAGACTCAGCTTTTAGGAGTGGAGTTAACTTAGACAGAGAGCTACCAACAAATGCTGGCTGGATTGCTACACAAACAGGGCCCTCTGGTTGTTTACAGCAACACATGCATTAACAAGAAGCTTAAGAGAAGGAAATGAATTTACTTTCCTTCAACAATAGAGTGTATCCTCCTAGGAAAATCCGGTGAAGTTCCCCTTCAGTTCTGCAATCCTAGGGTAACTGACAATTGGAGCAGATTGTTCTTTCTGGCAAGAAAACAAATTCATTGCAACTGTGGCTTCTTTGGCCAATGGATGGAATCCAGCCAAGTCTACACAACCCTTACCAAAATGTGAAATCTCTTGCAAGTAAAAATCATATACAATATTCAGGTTTTTCTTTTTACCTTTGTCTGGACTACATATGTAAGATCTTACTACTAAGGGGCAAATGAAGAAATTATCATGTGCAGGATAAGGATAAGAGTCACTTTGCATAAGCAAACTCTATGGAGAATTGGACTGAAACTGTAGTCTCATTTTACACTGTTACAAGGTGTATGTCTGAACCCACATACACACCTACCACACATGCATCTTCAGCATACAGCCCTGAGAGGACTGGAATATTTTGCATGGAGTCAGTACATGCCTCCATTTAAAATGGTGTACACCTTTCACCCTTATGCTCAAAGACCTTTGTACACCAGAATGTAAATAAAGATTGGTTTATTACAGGGGTCAGCAAACTTTCAGCAGGGGGCCGGTCCACTGTCCCTCAGACCTTGTGGGGGGCCAGACTATATTGGGGGGGTGAACAAATTCCTATGCCCCACAAATAACCCAGAGATGCATTTTAAATAAAAGGACACATTCTACTCATGTAAAAACATGCTGATTCCCCGACCGTCCACAGGCCAGATTTAGAAGGCGATTGGGCCAGATCTGGCCCCTGGGCCTTAGTTTGTCTACCCATGGTTTATTACATGGAAATGAAACATATAAAGTATATAGCCTTCAGTCATCAAGGTTACACATATGCAGGCAGCAATATAGTCATTAAATATTCAAACCTTAGGTGTACAGAGTAAAGAGTCATTCGCTACTAAAAAACCTAGAAAGAATGATCTCAGCATAAGTAGAATAGAAAACCAGGTATGGGGGGATATAGCAGAACTCTGAGCAAACAGAGCACATTGTCAGGGATAGAAATCTCTCTCTCACACACACACACACACACACACACAAACAAACAAACATATGTGAAAATTTCAGTGGACAAATAAAGTAAAAGAAAGGAAAAAAGGAAAACAAAAAGGTGTTTTCAACCGTATTACAATACAGCTGTACAATACAACTAACGATGAATTTGTGAAATGATTAAGTGGGCACAAGATGTGGGTCACAATATTGATTATGAATTATGGGGAAAGTTGTGGAAAATAAATATGAATTTCACGACATGTTTTTCAATAAAAGAAAATATGATGAAAATGACCCACAAGATTGGCGAAAATGTATAAAAAAGAAAAAGGTATATGTTGGAAGTGTAATGAAAATGAGGGATTTTTTTCCACATTTGGTGGTCCTGTAAAATAATTAAGGAATATTGAGAAACTATATATAATGAATTTTAAAAAGATAATTAAGAAAACTTTCCCCACCTGTGATTTTCCTCTTGGGGATGGTAACAACGGAGGTCCCCCCCCCAAAAAAAGAGTTTATTACTATACGCCACTGCGGCAGCTAGAACCTTGTCGGCAGAAAGGTGGAGAACAAGTATAGTACCCACTAAGGAAGAACTGCTGTGTAAAATGCTTCAATATGCCGAACTGGCTGGTCTGACGGTACAGGATAAGAGGAAATGAATATAAGTAAAAAAAGGAGGAATTGATAATGTTTATTGAAATTTTTAAGAACTAGTATAAACAAATACATAGCTTAGCAGAACTTTAGTAAATCTAGCAGAGTTGAAATAGAGTTTTTAATAGATAACAAATTGGATGATTAAAAAGATGTGGATTACGCAGAGTAGTAGAAAAGCAAAGGAACCAGGATAAGGGTGGAAGGGAAGTCATATGGTATATGTATACATGTTGTATTTGGTACGAAGTTGTAAGTGGGACAGGGAAAGGCGAGAGAGAGGGAAGGGGCTAAGTATGCTCCCTGTTCCTGTTTTTGAAAATGCAAATGAAATAATAAATGGGAGGGGGACTGTAATACAATACGGTATTTAGGTATATAAGTACAGTGGTGCCTCGCAAGACGAAAAGAATTCTCTTCGTCTAGCGGTTTTTTCGTCTTGCGAAGCAACCCTATTAGCGGCTAAGCGGATTAGCGCTATTAGCGGTTTAGCGGCTTAGCGGTTATTAAAGGATTAGCGGCTAAGCCGCTAAAAGGCTATTAGCGGCTTAGCGGCTTAGAAAAAGGGGGGGAAAGCGGGGGGGAAATTGCAAGACTAGCAAGACGTTTCGTCTTGCGAAGCAAGACCATAGGGAAAATCGTCTTGCGAAGCAACTCAGAAACGGAAAACCCTTTCGTCTAGCGGGTTTTCCGTCTTGCGAGGCATTCGTCTTGCGGGGCACCACTGTAATGCTGTTATTCCGACGAGTATATAATTATTAACAAAGAATTATAATTTTACAAGTGCATTCCAAGTGTCATTATATTTATCCATACACTTTTATATCTCCCCCCGGGCCTTTGTTCTGAAATGTAGGGAGATGCCCGGGCAGTGGGACATCTCTGCAGCATGCTGAGGAGACGTAACCTTCTCACTACACTTCTGATTGCTTTGCCATGGGGTCTTCTTCTTACATTGTGGCATCAGTACCCAACTACCCGCTACCTCAGCATTCTGAGAAGTAAGTGTACCAGGCCCAACCTTACAAAGAGCTTCTTTTTCCCCCATAGCAATTACAGTGCTCGGGGATAATTAAAATACAAATGTGAATGTGGTGAAGGTCTCAGTGGCACTGCAGTGTGTGTTTTATGATTTATTCTCTCTATTCGACTTGCCTTAGAGGAAACAGATGAAAACGTGACGGCCAAATCTCTCTTCAATAATAGCACATCGCTCACAAGGGAGGATGGACTCTCATCATGTGCTCGGCAGCCGGCTGTTGGGGCAGCTCCAAAAATAATCCGGAGCTATGTGTACTCCAGGCCTCCCCCATGGTCAGAGGCTCTGCCTTCCATCTTTGTGATCACCCCTACCTACAGCCGGCCAGTGCAGAAGGCTGAGCTGACCCGTCTGGCCAATACTTTCCTCCACGTGCAGAACCTCCACTGGGTGGTGGTGGAAGACGCTCCCAGAAGGACCAACCTAGTATCCAATCTGCTGGAGAAGACAGGGATCAATTTTACGCACCTGAACGTTGAGACTCCTAAGAGTCTGAAGAACCCTTCCTGGCTCCCATCTCACAAACCGAGGGGCACGTTGCAGAGGAATCTTGGACTGCATTGGCTGAGGGAGAATTTTGGCACCACACCACCACCAGAGGGTGTGGTCTACTTTGCTGATGATGACAACACCTATAGCCTAGAGCTCTTTGAAGAGGTATGAGACTCGAGTTTAGGATGGTTTCATCTTTGGGTCCATTATTTAGGCACATTGGTTGAGTGCATTCCCTCGCTTTAGTGGAGAGCATTATTTGGGTGGATAGGAAGAGATGCCAGCCATATGACAAATGAGAGTTGCTGGAGCTCAGTGGTAGAGCACTTGTTTTTAATCCCAAAGGTCCCAGATTGGATCCCCTGCATGTCTAAAATAAAAGATAGGCCTGTATGAAATCCTCAAGAGCTTCAGCCAGTCACTGTAAACAACAGTTAGCTAACTCTTGACATAGTACCTCACCAAGGACACCTGATTATGCTTAGCAGTCATGAAATAAGAAGTGAGGTCCTCTTGTGGATCAGTAAGCAGAGAGTAGAAATAAATGGTCAGTTCTCCCAATGGATGGATGTAGAAAGTGGAGGCCCGCCCCCAAGGATCAGTAATGGGCCTTGTGCTTTTAAACTTGTTCATAATCGATCAAGGTGAGCAGTAAGGTAATCCAGTTTGCTGCTGACACTAAACTATTCAGGGTCATTAAAACAAGAAAAGGATTTTCTACAATAAAATAAACGGACCTCTCCAAACTGAGTGTATGAGTGGCAAAATGGCAAATGTAAATCATTGTAAACAACCTTAAAGTGAAGTACAAAATCTGAATTTCATGTGCATGCTCATGGCATCCTAGCTGGCAGTGACAGACCTTCGGTTTCTACTCCCAGCTGTGCAAAGGCAAGTTCCATGCTAGAGACCATTAGTAAGGGAATTGAAAATAAAACTGCCAATAGAATATCATGAAACAACAAATCTACCGCGCAGCCAAATTTGGAATACTGTGTACAGCGGTTCTGGCCACCTCACCTCCAAAAAAGGATATTGTAGAGTTAGAAAAGGTTCAGGAAACGGCAACCAGAATGATCAAGGGGATGGAGGAACTCCTCTGTGTGGAAAGGTTAATATACATGGGGCTTTTTAATTTAGAGAACAGGCAACAGGATAGAAGTACCCTGAAAGGTAGCTCAGTCAGTAGAGCATGAGACTCTTAATCTCAGGGCTGTGGGTTCAAGTCCCATGTTGGGCAAAATATTCCTGGACTCTACAAATCTGTGATGTTGTGTAGTGTATAAGATTGTGTATGCTGTGGAGAAACCAGTTAGAGAATAAATTTTTTTCCCCTCTCTCATAACACTAGACCTCATGAAAGAAAATAATTCTTCACACAGTTCAGCTATGGAACTTGCTCCTACAAGGGGTAGTAATAGTTACGAATGACCCTTTTTAAAGAGGATTAGGCAAACTAATGGATGATCAGGCTATCAGTGGCTACTCACTACGATGGTTAGCTCCACAGTCAGAGGTAGTAATGCTCCTGAATACCAGTTGCTGGAAACCTTAGCAGAGGAGAGTGGTCCTGTGCTCAGGTCCTACGTACAGACTTCTCATGGGCACCTGGTTGGCCACTATGAGAGCAAGATGCTGGCCTAGATGCTGACCTAGATGCTGACCTCATCCACCTTACGTTCATCCTCCTCCTCATTTTATTTGTATGCTGCCTTTCCATAGTTAAAACCATGTTCAAGGCAGCTTACAACATGAAAAGATTTACATAATTCAGAGCTGTTCCGCCAGGCCTTTGGTCAGGGCACAGCCTGACTCCCTCCTTTGGCAATCTCCACAGAACCTTAGCTTAATGGTTGCCAACAATTTGATTTTAATTAATTTTTATAATGAAATGTTTTTAGAATATTGTACTATTTTATTGTTGTTAGCCGACCTGAGCCCGGCTTCGGCTGGGGAGGGCGGGATATAAATAACATTTATTATTATTTATTATTATTATTATTATTATTAATTCAAAAAATTTGTTGTTTAGTCATTTAGTCGTGTCCGACTCTTCATGACACCATGGACCAGAGCACGCCAGGCACTCCTGTCTTCCACTGCCTCCCGCAGTTTGGTCAAACTCATGCTGGTAGCTTTGAGAACACTGTCCAACCATCTCGTCCTCTGTCGTCCCCTTCTCCTTGTGCCCTCAATCTTTCCCAACATCAGGGAGTCTTCTCTTCTCATGAGGTGGCCAAAGTATTGGAGCCTCAGCTTCAAGATCTGTCCTTCCAATGAGCACTCAGAGCTGATTTCCTTAAGAATGGATAGGTTTGATCTTCTTGCAGTCCATGGGACTCTCAAGAGTCTCCTCCAGCACCATAATTAAAAAGCATCAATGCTTTGGTGATCAGCCTTCTTTATGGTCCAGCTCTCACTTCCATACATCACTAAATTCCAAACATAAAAAGGCATAAAAATAAAATGCATCAGAAAGTACACAGCCAAATTTAAATGATTTCCAAGTAAATCATAATAAGATCTAAAAATAAAGGTGCAAGAACTACAGTGGTGCCCCGCAAGACGAATGCCTCGCAAGACGAAAAACTCACTAGACGAAAGGGTTTTCCGTTTTTTGAGTCGTTCCGGAAGACGAATTTCCCTATGGGCTTGCTTCGCAATACGAAACGTCTTGCGAGTTCTTGCGAGTTTGTTTCCTTTTTCTAAGCCGTTAATAGCCGCTAAGCCGCTAATAGCCGCTAAGCCGCTAATAGCCGTGCTTCGCAAGACGAAAAAACCGCAAGACGAAGAGACTCGCGGAACGGATTAATTTCGTCTTGCGAGGCACCAATGTATCATCAATCACAACCATCAGTTGCAATCCTTTGCACACTGCCACCCATTGAACACAATGGGGCATATTTCTGAGTAAGCACGAACTGCAATCCTAGCCACAGTTACTTGGGCGCATACCCCCATTGGATTCAATGAGATTTATTTCTGAGTAGACATGGATAGGATTGTGCTGTTTGTGCTACCATTTTTTACAACGCTATTGCTGTGCCCATTAACCTGTCGGGCTTTTCAGAAGGTGGGTGCATAGAAGGGAAGTCGGAGGAATCAAAGGGGAACACTCGAGGAATCCTCAGAGGAACGGCCATCACAATTTTGTTTTCTTTCTGACAAGCAGATGCGCTACACAAAGAAGGTGTCCGTCTGGCCAGTCGCCTTTGCCGGGGGCCTGAGGTACGAGTCCCCAAAGGTGAGCCCGGCAGGCAAAGTGGTGGGCTGGAAGGTCGTGTTCGACCCTAACCGGCCCTTTGCCATCGACATGGCCGGCTTTGCCATCAGCCTCAGGCTGATCCTGGAGAAGCCTCAGGCCACTTTCAAGCTGGACGGAGTGAAAGAAGGTTACCAAGAAACTAGCCTGCTGAAGGATCTGGTTACGATGGATGGATTGGAGCCCAGAGCCGCCAACTGCACAAAGGTTAGCATGGCCTGAATGTTTGCGCAACAGCCTTCCCACCCACCCCCACCCCCTGCCATCCACTTCCACTCTGGAAGGTGCCTCTCATCAGAGATTAGGCAGGCCAAAGGTAGATTATGGGGAGCACAACCAGTTCTTTTGTATTGGGCACAGAGCTTCTCGGGTACCACAGATGGTGCCATAACTATGACAGCCAATGGAAGGGGGGGGAGGACCAGATTTTAGCATCACACACAGGGGTGCCACTGAAATTTGAGACACCAAGGTCTGCCACTGGGTAGGCATCCACTGTCGAGTATTTCCAGCATGTTTTAGTATCTTAGTGCAATGAACATTAATGATATTTTATGAAATGTCTTATGGTTCAACATTCTGTGGCTACAGAGCGTACTTAGTCTTCATTTGGGGTATTCCCAAACACTGGGGTTCTGCCAAGCCCTCCGATCCCCTTCCCTCTTGTGCAAATATGGGGGTTGTTTGGTTACAAAGGGATCAGTGCTCATGGAATTGTTCGTTGATTTGTTTCATAAAAATAAAATTTATATCCTGCTTGATTGTAAAAAACAAACAAAACCCACCTCAAAGCAGTTTACAGAAAGATAAGCAATAAAATTTAATTACAAGCCTAATTTAAGTACACAGTTAAAAAACGAAAACAGATGAAAATTAACTCAACTCAAATGAATTCCACATTAGTAGGAGTGATTGTTATTTAATTGATTTTGTTTTTTGCGAAATCCTGTTTCATCTTTTAAAAGGGAAGGTTATTGCTTTGTTTTGTGTTTTGTTTTAATTATTTACTTGGTGTTTTTATCTTATATTTTATTCTGTGAACCGCCCTGAGATCTTGTGACAAAAGGCGGAATATACATTTAATTCATTAATTCATTAATAGAAAGAGCAGTATCAACAAGCCCTTCCAACAAGGCTTGCAGCTCCTATCGATGTATACATGTTCCAGAGATTCTTCTGTTCAGACAGAAGTATACGTTCAGTTCAGATGTATACATTCCAGAGGTTTCATGAATGGCTGCCATGCATATTTGCCAATATTTGCCTTCAGGTTCAGCCATGACATCCTAATAAGGTGCACATTCTCTCTGTAGGTCTTGGTCTGGCACACGAGGACAGAAAGACCAACACTGGTTAATGAAGGCAAACGCGGATTCACAGATCCAAGGGTGGAGGTGTAATTGGGAAATCACCTTATTCTGTAAGTATTTGCATGCATGGGCATAGCCGGGGGGGGGGCAGGGTGTCAGGAGTTTGGCCTACACTCGAGTAGGACCCTGGCAGAGACACATGCCCAACTGTCATGTTCTCTCCCTCCTGGTCAACTGTTTGGGAGCTTCAAAAGCTTTTTTCTGCCCGAACATCACAGCGACCAATGCCAACCTCGGTTGGCACACTTAGGGATCCACAGAGTCTTTACAGCATTGCATGACAGACCTCAGCAACTCAGCATGTTGGCTAATCTACTTTATTTACATATAAACACACACAGAGCACTGCAACATGGCTCCCTCTCTCTCTAGCATCAGACAGCAAAGAGGAAAAAGAACAAAGGACAATAGTCCCACTTCACGGAACACAGTAACACAAACATCCTTTCTCCATCACTTCCCACTCTGTGGAGTCAAAACATATAGCGTCATGTGAAAGACAAAAATCCCATGACTGCAATCATGGAGCAGGGATTCTAACACAGGGAAGTGCAGCTGCCCCACTCTAAATCAATAAAAATACATAGCTAACTAAGGTTCTGCCCCCTCCCTCCCAACAAAAATCCTGGCTATGCCCATGTTTGTGTGTGTCTGTACTTCATTGTAGGCTTGTGAATAGTTCTTCTGAATAACTTAATGGGACGCGGGTAGCGCTGTGGGTTAAACCACAGAGCCTAGGACTTGCCGATCAGAAGGTCGGCAGTTCGAATCACTGCTACGGGGTGAGCTCCCATTGCTCGGTCCCTGCTCCTGCCAACCTAACAGTTCAAAAACACGTCAAAGTGCAAGTAGATAAATAGGTATCGCTTTGGCGGGAAGGTAAACGGCGTTTCCATGTGCTGCTCTGGTTCGCCAGAAGCGGCCTAGTCATGCTGGCCACATGACCCAGAAGCTGTACGCCGGCTCCCTCGGCCAATAAAGTGAGATGAGCGCCACAACCCCAGAGTCGGCCACGACTGGACCTAATGGTCAGGGGTCCCTTTACCTTTACCTTACCTAGGATGCAGAACCTGAAAACATTAAGATATTTCAGTCATCCTAACTAACTTTGCTGTGCTAGCTACGGTCACATTCACACCATAAATTTAAAGCACTATGATACAGCCATGGCTTCCCTCAAATAATTCTGGGAGCTGTAGTTTGTTAAGGGTGCTGAGAGTTTTTAGGAGACCCCAGTATTCCCCTCACAAAACTCCAGTTCCCAGAGTTCCATGTGAAGAGGAATTGGCTGTTAAACCACTCTGGGAATTTTTGCCCTGGGAAGGAAACAGAGGTCTCCTAACAAAATCTACAACTCTTTAGAGAAAGTTGTGGCAGTTTAAAGTGGTATTCATGGTGCTTTACCTGTATGGCATTAATGTGTCCTAACTTACTGGAACTCAGGGCCTTTGCAGATGCCATAATGATTTGTGCTCATGATGATATTTGGGCAATTCTACAGGATCCTACTTCCATGCCCTCTAGCTTCTGCAGAAACCCTGTAATTTTTTTAAAACTGAAAATGTTGCTGGGTTTTTGTTTGTTTTTCATCTCGTCGTTGTTGTTCTATAGCACAAGAGTGCCCTTCCAAGTGGTAATGTTGGAGAAGCACTGCAGAACAGTTAATAAAGCAGAATGACGTGCAGATGATCCAGTACAAATGCAGCATTAATGTACCATTTTGGGGACAATGACATATTGCAAAATACACCGCGGGGGGGGGGGCAAATTGCCCAGTCTGGAGTGGCCCTGACTCATCCCATGATAAGAACAACCTCTGGTACAGATTCTTATAAAGTGTTTGGCTGTGTAAATAAGAGTCAGGGCAGTCTCCAGGGCATAGGCAATGGTTAATTTAGTCTTGCAAAGGTTTTCCTTTAGCTATGTATGTCACGTAACCACAGTTCATGCCGCAAGGGACCTTCTGGAAATGAATTCTACATCACAGCGTTAGGTTGAGCCGGTGGAATGGACTTGGAAGGCAAAGGTAAGGAAGGCTTGATTTCCTTTAATAGTTAAACTTGCCCAAAGGCAAGAATCTGAAACCACCTATATGCAGCACTGCAGCATGAATACTTCTTTGTTCTCCAAAATATTAGCTTCTTTGTGGTTTTTAGGGGTTTTTTTTTTACAAAAAAAAAGAAGAGACGATTTGTTGAGAAAATCCTAGTTTAGCTATCTTTGCGAACTGAAACGATAAAGCCCTCTTGGCCCGGACACGGCCAAGTTTGTTACCCTCGGGCAGTGCCATCATAGCCTGGCAGAGGTCAGGGACTACAAATCTGATCCTGGCTTCACAGAAAGGCGCAGAAAGGACATATTGTAAAGCCTTTGGAGCAGCGTAACAAAGTGAGGGGAATTAGTATCTGCTGACGACTCCGAAACACGGCTTTTCAGGGACTGAGGCTTCTGTTCCGGTTAATTCCAACAGGATTTATGTCAGAGTTTCTGAAAGACGGTGCCCTAATTCTCTCTGCATATAAAAATGGGTTGTTGTCCATCTTGGGCTTGGCTTGTAGATTAAAGAGGGAAAGCAGCCTGGGGAAAAATATGACCCGAATTGGGAGCCAAACTAAATGCTGAGTGTGGAACATAAGAAGTTGCTTAATACCAGGTCAGGATGCTTGTCCATCCAGCCCAATACAGTGGTACCTCGGGTTACATACGCTTCAGGTTACATACGCTTCAGGTTACAGACTCCGCTAACCCAGAAATAGTGCTTCAGGTTAAGAACTTTTCTTCAGGATGAGAACAGAAATCGTGCTCCGGCGGCGCGGCGGCAGCAGGAGGCCCCATTAGCTAAAGTGGTGCTTCAGGTTAAGAACAGTTTCAGGTTAAGTACGGACCTCCGGAACGAATTCAGTACTTAACCTGAGGTACCACTGTATTGTCTACTCTGACTGGAACGTCTCCCAGGCAGATTACATTAATGTCACCTGCTCCTTTTAACTTCAGTTCTGGGGTCTGCAGTGGGTTTGCCACAGAAAACAGCAGCCACATGTTTACCTTTTCTCCCTCCAGAACACCTAGTGTGAATGTATTAATCTTATGAATCTCTGTCTATCTCTGTCTATATGCAGGTAGAGAAATAGATACAGGTCTAGCTATCTTTATATCTCTTTCTATATATCTTTATGCACACATTACCATTTACTTCGGCTCCACTGTGCTCCCACCGCTGGTGTGTGAAGCCGAGTACACGTGATGTTTGTCACAATCCCTATCTGTCCTGTAGCTTCTTGAGAATTGCCGCTGTTTGATGGGTTTGCTCTCAGCTTCCATCTGATTTGAAAACACCAGCCACTGTTAAGGTGTGTGCATTTCAGGTGTCTGTCAAACACATGTGGATGGCAGCACATGCACCGATGGTGGTTTCATTGAAAAGGAGTTCAGGGCAGGTTGCAGGTGCAGGGAAATGAATCAGGTAATGTGGATCAGGTGAAGACACCCCGGCTCCTCTCTGGTGTGTACAGCAGTGTAAACATGTGATTTATATCACAGCAGAGGGAAGACATCTCCCTGCATTTTATGCCACTAAAGTGTGAGCAGTCTATATATATCTCTCTCCTGCTGTGCCAGAATTTTTAGAAACCAATTTGTGATTTTTAAATGCGATTTTTAATTTGTGTATTGTGATTTTTAAATGCGTAATTTGTGAGTTTTGACCAATAATAATAATAATTTATTTATACCCCGCCCATCTGGCTGGGTTTCCCCGGCCACTCTGGGCAGCTCTCAACAGAATTAAAAGCACAACAGAACATCAAACATTAAAAACTTCCCTAGACAGGGCTGCCTTGAGATGTCTTCTAAAAGTAAGATAGTTGTTTATTTCCTTGACATCTGATGGGAGGGCGTTCCACAGGACAGGTGCCACTACAGATTCAAAATGGCGTCTGATGTAGAAATGATGGTGTAAGTTGCCACCCCGACCTCAGGAAATCTGATGCTGCGTTTGGCAATGATATCAAGAGGCGGCCAAACCTATGCCCACGGAGGGGGCAAAGTCACACCAAAGTGATGTTCCAGACTTCCATCTTGAATCAAAATGGGGGCAACATCTGAACTTTGACAAAGATCGCTGCCCCCACTTTGTAACCATTGTGCTTTTAATTCTCAGTGACAATATATTGATAGGCATTGAAGCACACAGGGAACGAACAGACAAGCCATTTTTCAAAATACATGGTAGATACTAATACATTTTCTAGACTGCCTTTCAAATCAAAGCGTACTTGCACAACATTCACTTAAAATAACATTATAAAATATGACCAGGAAAAAACAGCAACGCCGCAGGTAATGCAACATAAAATCACTTCAAATTCAAAGCTAAGGGTTTCTTTTTCTTTGAAAAGCAAAGTATTAAATAAATATATATTTATCATTATTCATTCGCCAGCAGCTGGAAAGATAGCAGTGTGGGCACCTGTGAGCTTCCCTGGGGAGAGCTTTCCACAGATGAAGCACCACCACCACAAAGCCCCTCTCCCTGGTCAACATCTGTCACACTTCATTCAGCAGGATGCCTGTGAAGCTGCCTGTGAAAATGAATGGCCTTAGGGTTCTGTGGATATGGGATAGTACCCATGAAAGATATTTAAAATAAATAAATAAAAGTTTCTCCCTTCTGTTGCCTTTTTCCTCACCATATACTGAACAGTTCTGGATGTTGTTTCAAGTTTTTGAAAATCCATTATTAATTACTACTACGAAAAGATGAGTGCTTCTCTCTGCATAAGTCACCCTATAGCCCTCTAAAAAAAGAACACAAGGAGCAAAAGACTACCCGTTCCCCATGGCAAATATACCCTATTTCAGAAATACGTTGTTGTTGTCGTTTAGTCGTGTCCGTCTCTTCGTGACTCCATGGACCAGAGCACACCAGGCACTCCTGTCTTCCACTGCTTCCCGCAGTTTGGTCAGACTCATGTTCGTAGCTTCGAGAACACTGTCCAAACATCTCGTCCTCTATCGTCCCCTTCTCCTTGTGCCCCCAGTCTTTCCCAACATCAGGGTCTTTTCCAGGGAGTCTTCTCTTCTCATGAGGTGGCCAAACTATTGCAGCCTCAGCTTCAGGATCTGTCTTTCCAGTGAGCACTCAGGGCTGATTTCCTTCAGAATGGATAGGTTTGATATTCTTGCAGTCCATGGGACACTCAAGAGTCTCCTCCAGCACCATAATTCAAAAGCATCAATTCTTCAGCGATCAGCCTTCTTTATGGTCCAGCTCTCACTTGTCTTACTTTAAAAAGAAGAAGAAGAAGAAGAAGAAAAAGATTGATTCCTTCCCCATCATCTCTCTTTTGGGTGGTGTATGCTCCCCCTTCTCCAGCACTAAAGTGAAGATCAGTTTGTTCTTTGTAAGCCAGGAACTTACCTGCCATCTACAAAATATTTATACCTACATACTTCAAAGCTCATCCTGCCCTTCATTTTAGACAGACAGATAGACAGACAGACAGACAGACAGACAGATATCAGGAAACTGCAACAAGAACAGGCAAAGTCACTCCACCACAGACATCTTGGTTTGTACAAAGTCAAGTTTTTCACTGTGTGTGTGTGTGTGTGTGTAGAAATGCTGTTTTCTCTCCCCCCCCCACCCCATTCTCTGCTGCCTCCTGGGCCAACCACACATACACAGATTGCAGTGTCTCATGGAAAAGCTTGATTTAGCCTAGCAACTGTCTGCATCTCTCTAGGGAGATCTTCCTCGCACTTTGGGAACCCCGAGGCTAAATGGTCAATTTGCAAGATGTTCTTCAGCTGTAGGATTGAAAATACTCATTTGTGTTGTTGCAACCCTCAAAAATGCCCTCCAGAAGAATCAAAAAGATGACTGTGGTTGCTTTTGGGGGGGTTATATAATAAGCCCCCACAATAACAAGGAGTGGAGGGGTTGCTTTTCTTCCTCCTTTCTTGCTATTTTATGCAGCTGCTCTGTCTCCGTTCTACATCGCTGATGTAAAAAGCTTGTTTCTGCCTGTAGCAAGCATATGTCTTGGAGCTGCCTCCAAGTTGCCAGTTAATTTTCTCTCTCCCCTCCCCTCTCCCGCTTTTCTAGGAGACTGGATGGCATAAATAACTATCCTTAACCATGAAAGTAAAAGATAGTTGCTTACAATCTTCTTTATAATAGAACTTCTTCGGATCTGGGCAGAAAATAAAATGTTCAAGCACAGGTGTTGTTTTTCCCCCCTACCCAGCTATATTCTTCAACCCACTGGGCACAATTTAGCACAGACTTAAGCAAGCTTAACTCCCCTAAAATAAATTGGCTTGAGTACGCTTGGCCCTGCGCTGGATTGTGAGAGGCAGAGGGAGGCATCCAAACCTACTCAAGGGCAAACACTATTGAAAGTAATATAACCGGGATTCCTACTCATTTTCTGTGGGTCTTGCATCAGAGCCAGTGTGTTGTAGTGAGGATAGTCATTGATCTGCCTTCCAGGAGATCTGGGTTCAAATCCCTGCCTAGCTGGGTGACTTGCCTGTAACTTTGGATCCATTACTTCCTTACTCCTATTTTGTAGGCATTCCAAATGGTTGGGAAGGAAGTGCAAAGAAGTGTAATGAATGAGGAAATATTCCCTTGGGATTGTTACACCACTGCCATCTTGAGAAGCCCAAATCCATCTGAATAATCCATTTGACTTCAGTGATAAACTTCCTCCACATTATGTATTAGTTTCAGAAACAAGATGTTTGGTTTCCTGGCTACCTCCATAAAGCTGGAAGAAAGAAGCAGAACAAATTATAACACTTCAGTCACATCCATCCCATACGTTGAAAGCATTCTTATATCACTTTAACAGTCATGGCTTCCCCTCAAAGAATCCTGGGAACCGTAGTGACCTTATTATACCTGCCACTTTCTCTCAGCTGAACCTACTTTACAGGGTTGTTGTGAGCATAAGTAAATACTGGAGGGAGACCATTTTTTCTGAAGCCCTGAAGCCCTTGAAGGAAGGATGGAGTGAAAATGTAATTAAAAATTAATATTATATTATTACAGCCATGAAATTAGTTCCAAGGTCACTTCGAACTTGCCTTTCCTAAATGATAGCCCCCCCCCGTGTGAGACATTGTTTTTGAAAATGGATCAAAAGACGTTTCATAAGAATAACTATAAAAGATGCACACAATCCAGTTTGGGAGGTGGGTGAGTCAGCATGCGAAACCTCGTAGGCTAGAGTTACCAGGTGTCCCCGTTTCCCGGGGACAGTCCCCGGATTTGCAAATAAGTCCCCGGGCAAATTCCATCCCCATAATGTCCCCGGATTTCATCTAATGTCCCCGGGAAACGCAGCAGTGGCAGTCTCAGCAGCCTGGAGCAGTTCTCTCTGGCTGGCTTCAGGAGCTGCTTGGAAATCCCCATATGATGGTGGTGCAGGGGCTTTAAAATGCAGCTTCTGGGCTGCCTCCACCTTCCCTGACCCCAGCAACTAAGCTGTGAAGGGAGGCTTCATGCTGCCTATCGGTGCAGCCTACCAACTACTTGCGTGCAAACAGGAGCGGGGCAAGGATCTCTCATCTGTGAAAGGAGGCTTCACACTGCCTATCAGAGCTTGCATGCAAGCAGCCGGAGGCAGGGATCTCTCAGGCAATGGGAAGCCTCCCTTCCCAGCTGAGGGATCCCCGCCCCTCCTGCTTGCATGCAAGTAGGAATGAGATTGGGGCTGCTCTGATGGGAAGGGAGGCGTCGCGGTGCCCAAGCCTTGCCACCGCCACTCTTGGCCCTCCTCCGCCTTCCATGCACAACGCACCACGCATCGCTTCCCTACCAAGGTGGTGGCCGCCCCTCTGCCACCACCATCACTGCAGCATTAACGTCCTTAACGTGTAGTAGTTAATTGATTCATTGATTGATTCATTGGAAATCTGGATTCATTGGGAAAAAATCTGGTAACCTTATCGTAAGCAGAGATTCTACTGCGTTGATGCAAGGTGTTCTTTGACAATGATCTGGCTGACTATGTCCTAAGACACGCTGAGTACCTATACACATTTCTTTAAAAATCCCCCCTCCCCTATTTGTTTTGCAGGTAGCAACTGTTCTCATCTCTACACTTGCTCAGCAGCAAACTGATGCAGCAATGAAGAATAACATCCTACTTGTGTTCATAGCTACCAGCTTCCCACGTCCCGAAAGCCATGAAAGAAAGACTGAAAGACTGAAAGGAAGTGAATGTGGAACCCCAAGTCCAGTTGCTTTGTACAATGGCCATTCATCATTCAGCTAGGAGAAATTGTTTCTACGTTTGTATTTATTTCTTGAAGGACTTTTAAAAAATATAAATGTGTGTGTACGTGTGTGTGTGCATGCGCATGCACGAGCACACACACACCACTTCCAGGGCAAGGGAAGAAGAACCAGGCTTTCACTCTGGACAAAGCTCTTTCTGGTAACCTCGCATCCTGATTTTTGAAGCTCTGCGTTGTAAAGCAATGGGATGAGGGCTTCTGCAAATCTGCTCCATGCCACAGCAGTTCAAAAGGAGGCCATCCCTGCAATGGGAACAATGGAATATGCCAACATCACTTTGGGGGAAGAGAAGCTCTCAGAGTAGCTTAAAACCTCATTCAATCTGAGGGGTTTGCCCTCCAGAAGAAGGCGGTAGGGCAGTTCATGCTTGGAGGTACATGTGGTTCATTCTTTGGCTTTGTTGAGTTCTGCATCAGTTCCCTTTACAGTGGTACCTCTGGTTAAATAGACCTGAGGATACAAACGCTTCAGGTTACAGACTTCGCTAACCCAGAAATAGTACCTCGGGTTAAGAACTTTGCTTCAGGATGAGAACAGGAATCGCGCTGTGGTGGCACGGTAGCAGCAGGAGGCCCCATTAGCTAAAGTGCTGCTTTAGGTTAAGAACAGGCCTCCAGAACGAATTAAGTACTTAACCCAAGGTACCACTGTATATAAGATCCAAAGTGACCCACATGGTTCCAGCCATCTCCAGTTCCTCTTGGATTGGAATGGTAAACCGAGCTAGAAAGTGGGTCTATTGAACCCAAGAGCCTCATTGTTCCAGGTTGCATGTCACAGTAAACCATAGTTAACGGTTTGCTGTGAATGCACAAAGGGGGCTGTTTCTCCTCCCCACTAGTGTATGAAGAAGACAAACCATGATCCCTTGTTTAGTGCTATATCTGAACCAGGGAGGATGACTTGGTTTGCTGCAACAAACCCATGATCAGTAAGCCAAGAAGAAGCCTTGGGTACAGAGCATGATTTATTGGGAGTGAAACAAACCATGGTCCCTGGTTCAGATGTAATGCTAAGCCAGTGAATGGGCTTTGTTTCCTGTCACTGGAAGCTGGGAGGAGCAAACTGGCTAAGACCAGCATGTGCACAGGAAACTATTAACTATGGTTTAACATGATGTGTGAATGACACCATTGTCTAAAACTCATCAAGATGAAAGCCTTGTGTGCGGTATTATTTGGCTAAATCTTTTTCACAAGAGAAGATGTTCTGAATCCAGTGCTTCTCTCTCCTTCTCCAAGTGGGTGAAATCCTGGCTAATAGCTAGGCAGTGGCTTCATGAAATTCCGTGGCTGGGAGTGGGATACTGCAATAGGTGGACTTTTGGTTAGATACAGCTGGTCAGTTCTTCTATTCTTGTGGCTTTGTAGAACTATTACACATTCTGGAACTGTCGGTGCACTTGCATGATCAAACTCAACTCATTTCCTGTCCGGACAGCTATGAACTCCAACAAAACCAACATGTTTGGAGTGAGCAGAAAGTGTTCAGCCATACTGAGCAATTGACTCCAAGCTTTAAATACATGTGATGGTGGCAAAAAAATGCAGCATCACCCAGAAACAAGACTTGGAACCACTGGGGAGGGAAATGACTACTGAAAACAGAAATATTCATCCATTATGAGTGTTAAAGGGAAAGAAAAGCACCTACAAGTAATTTCTTATATTTGTAATTGGAAAAGTATTGTCAGCACATCAATAAGGTTTGGGGCCAATGTAGAGTCAAAGAAACAAAGAATTGATGGACCCAAATGCCTGAAAAGGTAAATGACATGATAGCACAAATGTTTGTTTCTGTGGTGGGCTGTGCTCACAAAAGCCCACTGCTGGTGTTTTTACATATGTGTGGAAATTCTCACACCCAAGAATTAGAAGGACACTTTTTTAGCCACTGAGCCACCCCTAAAAATGATTCAGAAATGGCAGGATACCTATTTGTTTCTTAGCTTGTTTGTAACATGGGTCTTTTCTGCCTATGCCATTTATATCAACCTGGGTCGCCTGGCGTGTTTTATGGAAAATATACTTCCCCACTTGCCCCCCTCTGCTCTTCTGAATCTCAATAGGGAATAACCAATTTTATACTCTCCGTTGAAATGTCATATATATTTCATGCTCGCTGCATTACAGGAGGGGGGGGGAGAAGTGGTGTCTTAAATTAGCAAAATAATTAGAAGCACAGTAATGAGGAAAGTATAATTTAAAGGAGAAAGAGGCTATGTGGGAGTTAAGGTTGGCAGGAAAGGTTTGTCAAGCTTTTCGATTCCCTTGCCAGCTGCTGCTTCTGTGGGAAATCATGGAGGTCACCTCATTATAGAACAAAGAGAATCCTGGGAAATCTCAGAGAACATTAGCTGTAGAAAATATTTGAAGAATGGGGACTGGGGCCCATACTGAACCTCTAGCATTAAGACCAAGCCACTTTTGTTCTTTTCACTGAGAGAAGGATGAGGTCCAACTGAGAAGAGAAATTATATGAACTTGGCACCTCTTTAAGGTGTTTTTTTTCTTCCTGTCAGGTCTACTGCTGTGCTTTTGAGGGCCAATTTATATGTGGGGAAGCTATACAATGTTGCATCAAGCAAATGACCCCACACTACGCAGGGCATTTTCCCCATCACTTTCCTTGTTGCAAATAGTCCAGTTTGGGAGCAAGGCTGGAAGATTGGGCTTGTCATGCAAGATCTCCAAATACACTTTAAATGCACAACATGAATTTGGTGGCATACGATTGAATCCCATCTGAAACTACTGATAATCTGGAATCCCCCCCTCCCCCCCGAATGCCTTTCTTCATTGTTTTGCAAAATTGCAATTGCTTTGCTAAATAACAGCCTTTAGCAGGGGCAGGGAAGGAACTGATCCAGACTGCCCAGACTTCCCCAGTGGCCTGCCAACCCCCCGACCCAATTTTCCAGGGGGGGGGGCGGCAGCAGCACTGCTGAAGAGAAGAAAAGAGTGCACAACGTCAAGTGGGCACAGCAGTTTAAATCCCCATCATGGTCAGTGCAATGCCACCCAGGGTGCAAATCACCTCCTCCCTGCTCAAAAGATGAACAGTTTCCATCCCCCATCATCCAATTATTCAAGCTTCACCTATCATTGCGTTGTGTGCAGGAATAGTTTAAAACTTTGCTGTAACCCTTTCAAGCCCCTACTGTGGCTCCCCAGTAAAGAGAGCCAGTATGGCGTAGTGGTTAAGAGGGGCAGACTCGTAATCTGGTGAACCGGGTTTGCGTCTCCGCTCCTCCACATGCAGCTGCTGGGTGACTTTGGGCCAGTCACACTTCTTTGAAGTCTCTCAGCCTCACTCACCTCACAGAGTGTTTGTTGTGGGGGAGGAAGGGAAAGGAGAATGTTAGCCGCTTTGAGACTCCTTACAGTAGTGATAAAGCGGGATATCAAATCCAAACTCTTCTTTTCTTCTTCTTCTGAGCTCAAGCTTGCAGGCAATAGAGGAAGGAAGGGCAATCATGGTTAATGGTGGTAGAAAGACCCCCTTTCTAAATGTGACCAGGTTTTTCACTGTGGTTGCCAACTTTTTTTTACTGGCCTGCAGCTATGACTTTAAGAGCAGCTTGATATGCAAAAAGACAAAGAAAAGTAGCAGCAACCTAATCCTTTTAAAATCGTACCAGGAAAAGCTTCATCAGTTAAATATCTGTGTGTCATGTTGTTGTTAACAACAAGAGTCGGGTAACTACATTGCATACCCTGTGCCTTCTTATCTGCTCCTAAGCATGCTTAGTCAGGTCAAGCCCCATTGAATTGGATAGAACTTACTTCCTAGCTGGTATGCACTGAAGTGTCACTGCCATCTAGGAACCTAGTAATCAAACAAACCCCTGTGTTGCAAAGAGAACGTCAGCAATATCTAAGCAACATGATGACCATGTACATATGCAATAGACAATCTTTATAGAATTCCTTCAAACCATAATAAGTACAAAATGAAATCTGTTAGTAGCAGTGACTACGTTATTATATGAGCACTGTTCCACAGCATTTGATATTTTCATTTATATGCATTCATTCAAAATAAGATGGGGTATGTACTCTTTTTCATTACTGTTTGTATTATAGTTTATAATTTTTGTAAAGTGATATGTCATGCAGCTCATCGTCTGTAAAATTTTATTTTCAGTTTATGAAGTAATTCTATATCCTCCCACCACACTGACGAAGAATTCTATGAAGCAGTAGTCAATATCCGGAATCACTGTTCAGTGTTGGGCATCATATTTGCTGAATACACAAAGCTTCACAGCTTGTCTTTCATCGTACAAAGTCTGGTACCTTGCTTCATTTAAAGATTTTCAGAGACTTTTAGACTAAAGATTTCATTTTGTACTTATTATGGTTTGAAGGAATTCTATAAAGATTGTCTATTGCGTATGTACATGGTCATCGTGTTATCTAGGAACTAGTAGCAGTCTCTGGCTGTCACAGGCCATTCTGGTAAAATACACGCCTTACTTTGCAAAAGGTCTCAGCCCCTGCATTTCCACACATGGTTGGAAAGATTCCTGTCTGAATCTCCAGAAAGCCACTTCCTGTTAGACCAGATGAGCCAGCGCCAGCTTCCTGCTTCTTGGGGACTGTTTGCCTATCCAGAGGCTACTGAAACAAACATGCAGAAAGTGGAATGTTGGTAGGATTGTGTGTGAAGAGTGTGAAGTAGAGCTTTCAAGAAGGACTTCAGGATTCCTGTCAAGGATGGCTCTCCAGATGTTGTGGGACTACAACTCCCATCGTGCCTGGCCATTGGCCAAGCTGGCTGGGAGTTGGGATTCAGAAACATCTGGTGTGTTGCAGGTTCCCTGCTCCTGATGGCTGCCTTCTGTTGAGCCACAGATCGAAGAAGGACATAGCTTGAGGGCATGCCTTTGAAATGTTCTGGCAGCTGGATAAATAACTTCCAAAGGTCCCACTTTATACAAAGCCCTCACCTGCATTGCATATGTGGAGAGACAGGCCAGCTTCCAGAAAATGAAAATAAATGGGACAGAGTTTGTGGCATCTTTGGCCTTGCCTTGTGATGAGGGGGTGTAATTGACCAGCAGAACTGTATGAGGTAAGGTCGCATCCAAACCATACATTTAAAACCCTGTTATACTACTTTAACAGCCATGGCTTCTTCCCAGAGACTCATGGGAACTGTAGTTACCTTGGAATATAAAACAAGCCTGCTGGATCAAGCCAATAGCTCATCTAGTCCAACATTTTATTCTCACAGTAGCCAACCAGGACCGCCAAACAGCATTCAGAAGCTTTGCTGCCCCTGTACGTAGTTTGTTAAGGGATGCTGAGAATTGCAGCTCTATGAGGGGGTCTTCTAACAACTCTCAGCCCGCTTAGCAAGGGTTCTTTGGGGGAATACATGGCAGCTGAAGTGGTATAAGAGTGTTTTAAATGTATGGTATAATGGTATAGGTGTGACCTTGTAACATGTATGCTACAGACCAGCAGAAGGATGCTTTCAGAACTTAACAGAGAAAGGTCCTTTGAGAA